GCCCGGATTCTGGGAATGCAGAGCCTGGAACGACTGGAGGAAAGGTTTGCCGTCAGTGAATGCTTTTGTGTAGTCTGATCCACCCTCTGCGTCCTGCATTCGGTTGTCACGTGACATTGGCGGGACCGTCAGGTCGGGTGATGTTGCACGTCATAGGTATTGTGTTGCCGGGTGCGGGGGGTCGTCACAATGGAGGAGAATGGCGATGATGACCGTGATTTCAACGACGGCAGCGACACTGCTCAGAAAGATCTGCAGGGCCTGATGCTAGCAGCAGGAACGCAGGTGCGGTGCAACTGGCTTGACCCGTCGATGGAGGGCGGGCCCGAGCCGACAGAATCGGCTGCCAAAAAGGCCAAAATCGATTCGGAGAATGAGCAGGCGGCCTTCGCGCAGCTTCTAGCTGCCGCGAAAACCTGCGAGCGATTTCAAGTCAAAGGCCCCCCCTGGGTTGGCTGGGTTGGGGGATCTCCCGAAGTGCCGGAGCGCCATGGAGCGATCCTAAGGGCAGTCTCAGAGTCTCTGATGAATCGATTGGTGGTGCTGCGTGTTGACAACTTCCCTGGCTCCGGAGATCCTGTGTTTGGCACCAGGCACGAGCTTCGAAGGAGCTTCCGGGCCCCGGATTTCTTTGGGAAGCTCACAGCAGGCTTCAAGGGCACCTCTGGCTGCCTCAAGAAGGTGACTCTGCAAGGCGGCTTCCACTCAGCTTCGTCAGTTTGCAACTTCCTGCATGTAGTCAAGCCGCAGCTCGAATCCTTCCGCTGCCGGGGATGCCTCTTTCATGGCCGGAACTTCGAGATGCTAGTAAAGGCCTTGAGCAGCGCAAGCCAGCGAAGTCTCCTCGAGTTTGAGACAGATGCAGCCATCGGCGGCAAGGATCCCGTTGGACTTTTGGCAGACTCTTTCCCAAACCTCAGGATGCTTCGAGTCAAGTACATGTTTGGAGAGGCGGACCACCTCCAAGCCTTGAGCCGACTGACGCAACTTCGCAGGAAACAGTGTGTTCTTCCAAAGGACGACTTCCGACTGTGTGGGCGCCCGGCCGTTGACCCTGAGAAAGGCATCGTCTATTGGTTTATCACTTCCGAGCACCACGACGACGACTACAGAGGAGA